AAATGGACATGGAAGAAGGTCTAATGGATTAGGAAAGGAAAGATGCAACATGTGGAGTCAGTCCCTTGGCTAAGATATGGACCTGACAAAAGCCATGCGTGAAGACAAGAGTGTGATGATGCCTGGAAGAATAATGTTCAACTGAGGTTGACAGAATAGGGACCAAGACAGACGTAATGGTAGGGGAGGTTTCACAAGTATAGGTCAGAGCAGTGGGAATTATTGTTGTGCTGGCTAATACATAGCCACCAGTAGGAGGAGACATGAAGTGGATTGAAGTAGGGATAGAACTCTGGAGAGGGGTTGAATAGGAGGGTAAGTATAGATGTGAAGACCCTTCCAATCTTGACAGATTGCAACCACCACCAGAGTTAGCAGGTGTAGAACGAGAGACCAAAGGGAAAGAAGTTTGGTGTTCCAGTGGGTGGCGAAGGCATATATGAGGTGTCCCCAGCTAAGAACAAACCCACCTAAAGACCTGTAGATCAAGGGACCACTCCATGAGAAGAAAAATCTTGTTGGGAGGGGATAATCGATCTATAAACAGATTCAAGGAGACAAGAAAATGGCAAGCTAAGACCACAATATGATGACAGTGGACCCAGAATGGAGATCCAGGATCTGAAAGCAAAGAGACCTGAAATTGGTATCCTCTTGTCCTGTGATACAAGTAACCACTGTGGAGATGTCAGAATGTATCATAACCACCCTCCCCCCATAGAATAGGAACGAAGTGGGACAAAGCTTGATGAACTGGCAAAGGCTCGAGAATGGTGATATGAAGAAAAGACTCCTTGATCAACCAGAGACTGGAAATTTCCCGGGTGTCGAGGTAAGGACCCCAACCCTCTAAAGATGAGCCCGTGAACAGATATAAGTCCAGACAAGGAGGAGTAAACAACACCCATGCTGTGGTCTGGTCTCTGTCTAACAACCAAGCCAGGTTGGCTCGACTGGTGAAGGAGAGGTAAAAGGGTTGTTTAAAGGATCCAAGAAGAAGTTACACTGATCTAGGTGTGCCCACCAAAGGAAACAAATATGAGCCTGACCCATGGGAATGAGAGCTTCCAAGGAAGCCCACATCCCCAAGGAGATAGAACATCTCAAGTTGTAAGAAATATAAGGTGAAACACTTGTGAAATGCTTGCTCCAAAGATGAAGAGAAGAAAGCTGGGCCCAACTGTGGTTGGAATGAATAAACCCCCCAACTGAATGGAGTATTGAGTGGGTGTAAGAACAGACTTTCCTACTGCCATCAGCAATCCCACCTGTGCTGCTTCTTGTAGGAGCAGATGAGTGTTGTCTCTGTACTGTGAATGGGAAGAAGCAAGCAGGAGCCAGTCTTTCATAGAAAGAAGAGTGCAAATGCAAACACACAAGAGAGTGAAAATGTTGGACAAGAGTTTGTACCCCCCTACAAAACACTTAAAAAGCTGAGGTTCATCCGAACAGTAGGGACCTGAACTGGAACACTCAACTTAGAGCAATAAATACCCAACGAAGATGCACAAACTGTGAGAAAGAACCATGAAATGTAGATTACAAGGAGAAAATGAGATTTCTAGTATCATAAATGTAGAAAAAGGAGCCAAAGCAAAGTTAAGCCCTACGAACGGGGAAAAAAAATGAACACATAATGATGTAACAAAGCAAAAAAATTTAAGTCCTACACTGACAAAAATTAGGATGGTAAGGTACATAGTTAACAATGACGAAAAAATTGTTGAAACAAGTAACTGCAAAAACAGTAAAATAAAACTGTTGAAAATGAAAACTGAAATGGCAAAGAAGCACATTCATAAACTGTAGCCACATGCGAAATACATGTCTAGACAATGCTGTGCTAAACAAGAAAGTGAGAATTGAGGGGAAATAGCAGATGAAGTTAAGTGCACCAATACAGATGGTTCAAATATTATTGGTGGTGGGTAGTCACATGATATGTACATGTTCAAAAATGGTACAGAATTGATGAGGTATATAGACTGGTGTGCTAAGTGCAAAAAGTTTTAGCAATGCTTAGAGGGCAGATAGAATATGAGAACAGAGGTAAGACTGTATCAGTTCTAATTATAAAAAAACATACACTTAAAACTATTCTGTTAAAACAGAATGACAACAAATAACATTACATTTTTCTTTATGAAATAACAAAAGTATTGCACAAACATTAATATCACATTCTAAGAGGTCTATAACTGTTAGTCATAAAAATGCTCAAAAACTGAAGAACACTGATATTTGTAGGTCTTATTTCTGTCACAAGACTGTTCTTACTATATTGTAAGAGCTAGTTATCAATCTAAAAACTACAAAAATAATAAGTGGGTTACTCATAACAACATGATACTAGGCAACGTGCAAACTATGTTTATGTGGCAATTATTAATCTACTCCACAATAAGCACACTAATGCTTACAGGCTATAGCCAAAAACTTGAAACAAGACAAAGTAAGAACAATGCTTTTGTATTACTAACTTATACACACACTGTCACTATAAACAGAAAATACTGATGAAAATACTTAACAGCTTTTAAGTTTAATGTTTACAAAATAAGTAAAACTGCAATTTTCACATTTAAATGTTTACATATATACAAATTTTTAATATTACAGCATAACAAAACTTATACAAGTGACAAGTACAGTATAATGTGCACAGAACTAATGTTTTGGAAAAAAAATTAAAGTAAAATATCACATTTTTTTCACACTATAAACACAATATTTTTCATTTTTAATGATATTAACAGTTACCTAAAAATACAAACATAAATGATCAATATTCCTGTAAAACTTCAATAAATCCAGTTTTTAATAATGTTTCACTAGATGTGTTATATATTTCTTTACATTGTAGTACAAACTTACCACACTGGCCCTAGTATTTAAGAAAGACAAAAAGACATTTTCAAGTATAATATAATGGCAATATTCATCACATTTATGTTTTATTTCCCTATTATTTCATGAAGATAAGCTTTTAACTCTAGCCCTTAAGATAATTTTGATTTCTTAAGGATAAAGAGTAAAAGTATAAGGAAGGTCTTTACACAGAAAGTTAGGCTAGGTTTTCTTTTACTCAGTTCTACAGCATCAGTTTTAGTAATAATAGTTTCTTTTCATATTTCTTATATAAACATTTCATAATAATGTAGATGTGTATTTGACTTACAATTTCTTCTTAGGGTATTTTAAGTTACACTTACATAACCAAAAATTAACCAGATTTTTTTTCTTGGGAGTAAAACCTTTTTACTTTTTTGACCTGTAATAAAGATTTCTAAAAATAGTTTTCCCCAACCTTTCTAGGCAAATGTAAGAAACTTCCAGGCCTTCTATGCATTATATAAAGCACACAGTATTTCAGAATCATACAATGATTCTATATTTTAACATAAAAATTTAAACACCCCTCACACAGCATGTTTGTTTTGTTGAATTTTGCACAAAGCTATTCAAGGGCAATCCGTACTAGTCATCCCTAATTTTGAAGTGACAGCCTAGAGGGAAGGCTGCCAAGCCATTTGATTAGTGCTTTACAGTTAGGAGCTTTGAACTGTTCTATATTTACTAGGCTTTCAAGCTTACAATCTAACATTTCTTCAATACTCTTTAAGTATTATTTAGTGTCATTATATTGCACATATTCAAAGCACATAGTACATATATAGTGGGATGTTTTTTTTAATTCAATCTAAAGCTTTCAAGTATTCTAGTTCTGATAGTATATTCTCAGTTGATAATAGTATCATATTATCTATAAACTTGGGTGTGAACAATTAATACCATATAGTTTTCATTATTTTGTAGGTTAAACTTATTAATGAGTCAAATTTTACTGATACTTGTATAAAACTTATTTTTATGGAGGTGAAGGGACAAAAACCCTTAATATCAACAAGACTTCAACTATATAACTCGAGTCAGGGATAATTAAACTATAATAGACATTCTTTTCATGACTTAATCATGCCTCTTTACAGATTTTCCATACTTATCAATACATAATACAATTTTTATAATGACTGAAACAAGTAATTTGATTTTAACTACAACACTGCATAGCAAACCTGAAGTAATATGTACAAAAACCAGCAGAAGTAGAGTACTACTATAAATTAGTCAACAAAATTAGACTATAATACTATTACTCAAAACACTCCACGCCTAACTACAAATATCATTGAAAAAATGATTTTAATGTTAAATTAAAGGAAAACCTGTCTGCTTCTTCTGTTCCATTTCAACCTCACTGAAACCAGCAAATACTGTTTAAGTAGCCTGCTGTTAATAATCAATCAACAAAATTTATTATAACACTATTGTTCAATGTATCCTATGTACTTATATCAATGAACCTTGTGATTTTGATATCTAAATAATAAAAACTTGCCAGTTTATGTAGCTCAGCCCGAGATTGTTCCAGGGAATCACGTCTGTTCCATCCACTAGCGTATAACCCATACCAGCATCCATGATATGTATTAAATATTACTATTATACATTTTAAATATATGGTGATTAATGTTGCAATGTGAAGTCAAAGTTGTTTGTATTAATTACAATTACATATAAGTGTATGTGCTTGTTTTCAAAACTATGAATCACAAAAACTTTATAAAACTGAGCATACTTAATGTTTCAATAACCAAGCCTGATCTACTATTTTCACGATTTTGTTCAACCATAAGTTTTATACACTGACAAGTTTTATGAAGGATTTTCAAAAACAACATCAGAATTTCCAACCCTGCTATAATAACCAGTTTTTAAATGCAGGTGGTTAACAAACACATCTTTAGTACTTATTTATTACAGCCATATTCCCAAAATACTGGGTTATTCACCTTTTGACCACAACTCTTCTTTTCAAATAATCTAAAACTGACATTTTCACATGATTCATCTGATAAAATTTGTTTAGTATGGAATTTGATTTCCTCAATATTTCAAACATTATATAACTAATCAAGCTGATTTTTTAGCTGTCCTACCTTTAACTCTTCCTCCATTTCTGCCAGCTTTCTTTCTAATGTTCTTCGCTCCTAAAATATCATCAATACCAAATGAATACTTAAAAACAAAAAAATCTTACTATGCTACAACATTCAAGATACCAGCCCCTTCTAGAATATACACATTTCTCAAGTGTAAAACTATCATCAGAATAGTATTTACTATAAATACTTCAGACAAGAAGTTTACTTTTCATTATGTAAAGTTTGATTGAAATACATAGCCTCTCACACACACATATGGTATGTTTAGGTAAAAATGATTTTCCTTAGAGCAATGTAATAGGTATGCTGAATAAAAGGAGAACTGACAAGAAATTTATTACAGAGAAGTTCCATAATTCTCTGAAACTAACCTACTTCAAAGCTAATGTCATTCTTACCCGATAACTTAAGGGGGATTGTAACTTGAGGCATCACCTGACCTACCATTGAAGGACATGGTATTGACATCATTTTACAAATTACATCATTACACCCAAAATCCCATGGGTAGACCATGTGGTTCCTCAATAGAATGACAAGGAACAAAAGCAGTTAGAATAAAAAAATTAACAACTTTCTTTACCCATTATGTGAAAACTGCACATACAATGAATAAATGATAAATTTTGAGTGACCCCATATTACTATAAGCAATTAGAAAATGTACGGTTAATCTTATATATCATATATATAGGATAAAAATTCTCCGCTGTATTTGTGTGTTTGTTTTGAATTTTGCGCAAAGCTACACTTAGGCTATCTGCACTAGCCATCCCTAATTTAGCAGTGTAAGACTAGAGAGAAGGCAGTTAGTCATCACCACCCACCACCAACTGTTGGGCTACTCTTTTACTAATGAATAGTGGGATTGACCATCACATTATAATGCCCCCATGGCTGAAAGGGCAAGCATGTTTGGTGTGATGGAGATTTGAACCAGTGACCCTCAGATTGCGAATCAAGCACCCTAACCACCTGGCCATGCCGGGCTTCTCAGCTGTGAATCACAGGTTTTAGTAAAATACTGTAGTAGTTTCATTTCTATTTCTCTGTGCATGTAACTTCACTGTATTACTTGAACCACTTTATTCAAAACAATAATATATATGTAAAATACACACTATGTATTCATTATATAATATTTACACAGTATAACTGACATTCAATAACTTAAAGAATTGTAAACATACTCATTTTCAGATTTAATACTTTGGGAAAAAATTAAAACTACTAGTAAAGAGTTATTGATAGTATAATGAAAATTTTCATCCAATTAAGTAATAATGAATGATGCTAGAAGTGAACAAAATATAGTGCATACTTACCCTCTTTTCAGCCTCATTTATTGAATTTCTAGTGTGATTCTAATTGGAAAGAATATTAGACATTAGAAAGTTGTTTAACTCATGAACAAGAGTTCCATTTAAACTCATATTTTCTACATGTTCTGTAAAAAAAAACTTATCAAAATGATAAACAGTCATTTTGCTGTGTGTAATATTTGTATACACAAATAAGACAGGTAAAATAAACCACATTATATACAGAAAAAAAGTAAAACCTGTTCTGTTTTGAGAAGTACCTATACAAGTAAAATTATCCCAGTGAAGGGAAAGCATTAAAAATCAGATTCAGTCTTCATTTGTATTGCTTTGAAAGTTTTACATGAAGAAAAAGTTTAATAAACAGAAGAAGAAAAAAAAAAAGAGAAAGATAACTGTTTGTTCCAGCCCACGGCTTTCAACATCAAATCTACCATTCAATGTATGAAGGAAGTATTTGTATGGAGTATTTGATCCTCATAAAATAGAGTTTGGTTTGGATCGACAATAAATACAAAGTTATACTATGGGCTATTCTTGCTGTGCCCACCAAAGATACTGAAAAAAACAGGTTTTTAGTGTTATAAGTATTCAGAATTACAACTGAGCAACTGGGTAGCATTTGTAAATACTAGATTAGAGATGAGGCATTGTGAGCTGGAGCACCAAGCTTTGCTGCTATGTGAAATTTTAAGTTTAATGTCATTTAACATTTGTGGTTTGTGAATAGAACTTAAATCAGATAGTTGTTGTATCACCATTACTGTATGGTTTCTACTTTTTATTTAGCAGATCATGCTTTTTGATCTCAACCTACAACTTTTATCATGATTTTATTTGATGTCTTACATATGCAACACACTCTTTTTCTAGCCCTGATTTAAGAATTTAAATGGAAGAAAAAATTAAGTTTGGTTAAGTTATTCGACACACACTTTTTCAAAATGGTCATAATTATTTTGTTATCGATCAAATTCACATGTGATATAAACACTAATTATTTTAACAACAAACTTAATCTACAAAAAGAATAATAGCTGAGGAGGTTTCATTTAAAGTAAGAAAAATATGTATATTATTAATAAATGGAATAAAAATTATTTCTCAACATATAACATATAAAAATCATGAGAACAAAATGCCAAACTAGATATATACAGAAAGCACCAGAAAAAAAATGTCATCAAGTTGTGACACAGAAAATTAATCAAAATTAGTGACCTTGTAAAAGTCCACTTATTTTTCTCTCCTTGTGAAAGTATTAGTGAAGGCCATTATCAGATGTAACAATAAAAAATATATAATCAAGGACATCTTAAATATTTTTATACAAAAAGTTATAATAAACCCTTTTCTAGATATATGGAAAAAGTGCACATATCACAAGTTTTTAGTTACATGAAAAAATTTAACTAAACTATTTTAAATTAATGTATACTAATATATTAGGTATCAAAACATAGTTAACAAATCAAATTTTAATACAAGTTTTAATCTCTTAATATAAAAATGAAATATTTCAATGTATTCAAAATCTCCATTTGTCCATGTAGTGTGACATTTGTTTGCTCCGACTTGCCCATTTTCTAGTTTTTCAACACACTCTGTGATATCCTTAACTTAAAGCAAATAACTCATTACAGTATAGAAATTACAAGCCCAAAGTCTGATTTTTATAGCTTAAAATCTTCTTTGGTTATGGAGATATAAAACAGAGTGTCAAACCCACTTGCCATGACCTTCTTTCACATCCTTTCTTTCACAAGTCAATAATTTAATTTTAGTGAATTATATACAATGCTACCTTGTTCTCAGTTGATATTTTTAGTTATTTCAACTACAGGTTAAAAGTTGCTGTTTCCAAGTTCATAACAAATAGCTAATGGAAATATTTTAAGGCACTTATACATTAGTTAGAAAGACAGTTACATTATAATAGTTATAGAACATTATTTGCTTTATGTGTTTTATTATTTTGTGTTTTTAAGTGTACATTCCAAATAAATAAAACTTATTTTAGTAACTAGCAATATCATTACAAGGAACTAGGATTAAGTTTCATCAGAGGGCTGAAAGGAGAAAACAAGAGATCAAATATAAGAACTAAATTTGTTTTCTTATATATTTTATATTTATTATTATAAAACTAATTATATTATCATAAAATGTAAAGATAAGAAATTAGGTTACATAAGGTTATATAATGAAAAACAAATTTATTCATGAGACATGCTTATGCATTTGCCATGTGATATCATGTATCACATGATTCTTAGTTAGACACAGTTAAAAAAGCAATAAAATTAAATAAAAATATATATAAACTGTTTTGTGCCTTAAGATGTTTAAGGTAATTGTAATTGCAGTCATTCTAGAAAGAAAAAAGGCAATTTAAATTTATTCACTTTTTTTTTTGGCAATTACAAGGTTGGTCAAATTGACCAAGTCCATATAGCATTATAGTAGAGAAAATAAAAGATAAAATATGAAGCTTTACTGAAAAAACTTTTTATATTAATTTAGGAGGTTCTAGAGGTTATGCAAATGAAATTTGAAAACTGCAAGATGAAAAAAAATACTCAGACTAGTCAGAGACAAATCTTTAGTAAAAAAAATACTAAATTATAAAATCTGACTTTTTCTTTTATAAAAGACTTGTAATGTTTACTAAAAGCTTCTCAAATTTCATGAAGATACTTTTACTGAATTAAAAGTTATAGTATGTATACTTTCATGGTTACCTGGTGGTTGCAAGGTTGGTCAAAATGACCAAACCATATAGAAAAAGTTAACAGTCAGTTTTACATAAATGTACTATTATTAACTATGATTACTTTAGCTAACTCAATAAGGTGTGCATAAATTTAACCAACTATATTTGATATCCTACATCATGTGATGACTCATATATCTCTTAAGTATAAATAGAAATCTAAAAACAAAGCCAAAAATAGTGATTCATTTGAATCACCAGTGTGTGTAAAGGCTATCTTCTAAATGGAAAATTAAGAGAACTTTCCTAGATTCTAAACTGTTAGAATAAAACAAGAATGTAACCTGTAGAAAAGCTTTTTCTAGCTGTCGTTTTGTATTGACCAGTTCTTCCTCTGTTTTCTTAAGTTTTTCTTTTAACCTTTCATTTTCTGTTTTCAGTGTTTCATAAACCTGCAATAAAAAAAATTCATATAATGTGGATTGTCCTTTGGGTTGAGAATACAATATTGTTTAATATTTTTACATCTGTAATGATAAAATATCCAGTTTCATTTAAGTTTATTGGCTCTACATATAGACGGATAATAAATATATATGAAAATAGAACTTAAGTGCTTAAAATACACTAACCAGAAAAGTAAATGAAGAACAGCAAACACTATTTAAGAAAATAAGTGACCTGAGGCTCTCCATCCAATAAACAAAATTTTGAATGTACCTTCTTGTAATCTTGGTCTCCTTCCTCTGCTAGACTTCCAGTGCTGCTGTTGAGAGAATTGCGGCTCAATCGGTCTGACTGTTGTGACAGTGTCTCTGAATGTCCACTGTCATTTTGTGAACCTGCTGACCCAAAATGTGACCTCTGAGGTTCAGATGAAGGCTGAAAAGAAAGAAATATGCAAGCTGATTTTTAAACTATTATAAGTGTGTTATACAAACTCTTAGTGATGAAGTACATGCAATAAAATCCATGGATAACCTGACTTCCAAATTACTAATTGTAAGTTACAGTAAAGTGTAAATTAGAATGCTCTACAAATAATAAATAATGAGTTGCACGCAGTAAAGCGCATAGATGAAACATTTATGAACCATTATTGTTGAGTTACATGCAGCAAAGTTTGTTAATGTTGAAGTGCATGTATTAAAGTCTAAGGTGAGAGAATGATGTTTTAAAAACTATTAATGTTGAGCTACATGCAGTAAAGTTTGTTAATGTTGAAGTGCATGTATTAAAGTCCAAGGTGAGAGAATGATGTTTTAAAAACTATTAATGTTGAGCTACATGCAGTAAAGTTTGTTAATGTTGAAGTGCATGTATTAAAGTCTAAGGTGAGAGAATGATGTTTTAAAAACTATTAATGTTGAGCTACATGCAGTAAAGTTTGTTAATGTTGAAGTGCATGTATTAAAGTCTAAGGTGAGAGAATGATGTTTTAAAAACTATTAATGTTGAGTTACAAGTAGTAAATTTTATGGTTAGAATGATTAACAAATTATCAAAAATTCCACAATTAGATTATTTTAGTTGAGAAAAGTCTATGAGTAGTCTGATTTTGAAACTTTTGATTTTGAGTTAGAAGGAATGCAATATATATCATTAGAATGTTTAATAAATGATTATTAATGAACTGCATAACGTCTATGATAAGAACGTATTGTAAACTATGAATGTTGAGCTAAGTGAAGTAAAAGTGGGAGTTAAAATGACAAATAAAAATTTTAATCATTAGCTTCTACAGGCCAATTTATTTACATGCTCTCAGTGGTGAACTGCATGTACTAAAGCACACTTTTAGTAAAAGAGATAGGTTAAAGAATTACAGTCTGTTAATTATGAGAATATATCTAGTATAGATCAAAGATAAATTAATTAGTATATTAATGGTAAATTTTTATATCCTAAAATAAATGCACTAAGTTACAAACTGTTCAAGGCATATACAAAATACATGATAAAACTACCAGAATTTATAAAATGTACCCTTCTTGTTCTAAAAATATCTGTACTTGGACCAATGCTGATATGTTCAGCTTATTTTACTTCGGTGTTCTGAGAAGGATGGTGTCCCAACCTGTTTCTAAAAATGGAAGTTAATCTAAAGTCTTCCTAAATTTAACTTTTAACTAAAATAGTACACACACACACACACACCAATGTTTTTATATTGTTTATATTTTACACAGTGCAACATATTAATTTGTCAATAAGCATTTTGGCCTTTTGAGTTTGGAACTGAAACAACAAAAGTTATTATTGAAAGAAGTTCCAAGCTATCTGTAAGATATGTAGCAATTGATAAAGTTTATTAACAATGCTTTAACACATATTCTTTAATCAATATTTTGCATTGGATTAGAAAAAGTTATAACCCAAGAAACATCTTAAACAATCTACGAAATGAACATTTTTTTTTAATTTAATTAATAGATCACGCTTGTTTTCTTAGGTACTAAGAAAAAAAATGGAATCACTTTTTATGTCACAATTATTCCTGCAATCATTTTTGCATATCCTAAAATACAATTAGACAAGTTATCATAACATATGGCTGTACTTCTTGACTGTATATTGTTTTATATTAAAGAACCAACATTACAACTGTAAGACAAAGCTGGGATGGCAAAGCAATAAATCAAATACAATTTTGAAATATAAAATTAAATGTCAATGGTAATATTTAAAAGAAAAGCAATATGACAGAAAATAAAACTGCTTTTTGTCATGATAAAACAAACAAGTTGAAAAATGGTTTTCATAGCCAGCTGGTTATAAATACTAATGAAGTAGTTTTTATCAGTTAAAACAGAGAAAATAAACATTCTGCATTATAAAGTAAAAAAAAGGAAACTGAAACCAACTCAATAATTGGCTAGATGGGTGAATTTTGAAACAAGTTAAGATTCTCTACTTTGAATATCAATGATCTTAAATATTTCCTTTCTGGTAGTTGCAACTTATAATGGGCAACATTCCAAGAGTCACATGAAACAGTCTTTCACAATCAGAATTTATTTGTAGCTCTTGAAAGATCAGCTAAAACTTGTTCTATGTGGGTGGATATATAGACTACAGCACCTCAAAAAAAAGAACAAACGTTCTGAGAAATTATAAAGAATTCCACCCACATAAAATTCTAAATTTTATCTCTTCAAGAAATAGGTCAAATCACCGACCAGTTGAGCTTAACTCTGTTTAGTATGTAGAATGACCTATCCCTCCAGAGCTTAACTCTGTTTAGTATGTAAAGTGTTTTATATTCCATTAAATAAAAAAGTCTGAGAAAATTCATATAAGCCAGATGTGGCATAAAAAAAGTCAAGTCAGGGAGTCTGGAATTATTTCAAAAATTACTTACAGAATACTGTCAACAATGTTTTGAAGTACAAGATTCTACCAGAAACATGGAAGAAACCTGCTGTGTTTTGCTCAACACTTCAGGGAGAAAAAAAACTTCTCAGTAATGCTAACCTCCATGTTACTGCTGTTTAGTGTGCCTGTTTCTTTACTGAAATGCATAAGCCAGATAACTTATTCGAGATGTGAAAGAGAAAATAAAAAAAATGGAGTAAAAATTGATATTTAGAGCTTATTATAAAATGTTTCACCTATTTTTCCAAACTGTTACTAGAAAAAATCTAAGCAAGAATAAAGAAATGTAAATGAGAATGGAAAGGATTGAGCTGGTAACATCTGAAAAACACTAAACATTGGGGCATAACTGTCATAAATAATTTTCATATGTATCACAACACTGTTAAATGACACTGATGAGCTTACTCAAGAAAGAAACATATGAAGGATGAATATAAACTTTGAACAATGCAGCAAGTGTGTTTACATATATACTGCCATGAAACACAGACTTATCAGCAAATTCCTAGTTGAAAAACTTCAGGAACGCTAAATGTAACAAAGAACAATGTTTCAAAACAATATCATTAACTAAAGGAAATTACTGACAGTTTCAAGCATCTCAAAGTAGGAATTGGATATTTTTTTGTAAACCAGACATATAAAAAAAATTGAAGAATTATATTAAACTATAAGTATGACCATAAGATAATACATTTTGTCTACTTTTTCTGTTATTATATGCATTTAAGTAATTAAAAAAAAAGTATACTGGTTCAACAACATATATAAACAGTGCCATCTCATAAATTTTCTGGTTTGATTATTTTATCATTTTATGTATCTAAATGAAGAACATTAAAAGTGAGGAATCCAAATGATAAGCCAATGCATTATAACTTTTATAAATTATACTAATCACTCATTGCTAATCAATTAATTGTCAGGCTAAATATTCAATTACATTTTTTGTTAAGTTGATTATTTTATTGACTTAATTATAATTGCAATTACTGGATAGTTGGAATAATTGAAAATGGCATAATTGGAAATGCTAGTTTGTTATTTTTGTGGTATTAACCAATTTAATTGCTATTTCAACTAACTGATCATTTTACGTGGCACTAAACAATGTAATTGAGTCAACTGTCCAGTTCTATTACTGGATTTATTTTCCATTTATGATCTAAGTAGGAAGCTTGCTCTGCTTAAAAGTTAACATTAATCATCACAGACAGTTACACCTAGAAAAAATTTGAAATTCCAAATAAAAGAAAAACAATAATAATGAAGCACCATTATGCACACAAGTTTTACTTTTTGTACTTCTTATTGTTTTATGTATCTGAATTACAATTAGTGTCATCAAAAGATTAAGTTTTATATTTATGTTTTCTATTTTCCAAAGAAACTACTATAAAACACACAAACAATTATTCAAAAACCAATATTCTTAATTGTTAAAATATGTGAAAACCAATAATTCAAGCTAAGCTATCCATATAAATTATGTTTGATAAAGTTGATAAGACTTGCAGAGATCAATTAAAGTCAAATTGTATTTATAAAATTTACTCAGTAAAGATGCTAATATCTGTAGAAATCTATGATTTCAGTCAAAGCAACTGTAAATGTTTTGTTTGCTGAAGCCGTTAAACGTATAATGATGTATAACGTATGTGAATACATTAATTGTTGGTTTTTAAAGAACAGATAATAGTAATTGTTACAAAACACTTTGAAATAACATTAGTAATGTCTCTGGCCTACTGCATTATGAACACACTAAAAAAGTATACTATTATATATATCAAAGAGTTGAAATATTTCTTTAACTTTCTAATGTTATTTCAAGCAGGAAAAAAACTGAGTGGTTGGTACAGACAATCTAAACACTTAAAATTCCAGATTTTGGTTTGCCTATGCCCAATAAACAAAATTATTTCGTTTATTGAACAAACTAATTGTCTAGATTTCTAAGCCTAAACTGTTTCCAAGGGCTGATAAATTATGATATGATATTTAGATTTTAGATTTATTGAAAGGTACTTTAACTTTTTAAGTGGCTAATGTTACTTGAATACACTATGCTACTCTACACATGTTTAAATCCTCATTTTGTTAAACTGTGATACACAAAAACTTGTATTTCACAGGGATACAGTTTAAACTAGGATATAAACGATTACTAAAACTTCTATCAAATGTACAAGTGTAGTACAAGCAACTTAAATACAGTTCATATGTAGACATACTTATGTACAAATGCATACAGTATATGTAGTTGTAAATACTAATAACAAACTTCAAAGCATTTAAATTTTCTAAAAGTCTTAAAACTGGAATAAACATATTAATAATTATATTTATCTTATAAAAAAAAACTAGCAAACACCAGCAAAGAAGTTTATATTAAGGCAACTACACAAAAAGTTGAAAAAAAGAGCATACTTTATATCCACCATAGCTATCTGAGCTTGAAGCATAACCACCAGATAAGGAGTCTGAAGACTTAGAGCTAGAGAGAGAATAACCTCGAGTTGGTGAAACAGATCGACGTGGAGATGCTGAATGTGGAACTGATAATGTTTTATTCCCTCTCTTTGAACGACAAGAAAACTTGGGAGAAGCTGGAGTGGTTGACCAGGAAGAATAAGTTGAATCATTTCCTCCATATGAAGGAACAGTCAAGGATCCTGCATATGAACCAGCTGAAGATTCACGGGAAGGTGAGTAAAATGAGGAAGAAGAAGATATAGCTGATCTTCTAGCAGGACTCTTAGTTCGTGGACTGCTTGGACTATAAGAGCCTGAATCTCTCCGATATGACTGTCGAGCAGAAGGGGAAGATGGAGTAAAACTATTGTAACTTGTTGTAGCTACTGTACCTCCATAATTTGGAGAATAACTTGAACCAGTTCCATAAGGTGGATAAGAAGCATAGCCTGTGGCTGAAGAGCTAGATGATGGCTTAGTGAAATTAAAGGAAGAATTACCCTGTCCATAACGTCCATTGCCACTTCCATATGACCCATAAGACATACTTAAATTAATTTCAAACTAACATCCACTATTAACAAATCAGAAGAATAAATATAGTTAAACAATAATAGTTACATGGTAGAACTTTTCTGAAGACCGAAGAATACAGTGCACTTCTCCTTTTCCCTTGTTATATAAGATAATTTCAAATAAGAAGTGATGATTGAAAATTAAAATCTATCAAACAATATTTTTTAACAGTTTGGTATTTACACTTAATAAAAACTCCACTTTTATAATTTTCACTAAAGCAGTTACATTTTACAGTATCAAAATAAACTTATGCATAAAATACATTTCAAGTCTCAATCTGCCCTGCTCACCAATCACCAGCACAAAAGGGCTTATTTGATAGAAGCACTAGAGTCTTTATCACATCTGTTGAAGACACTTAACGTACTAAAGTGTGGCTCCAGCATTTCCACCTCTTTTCCCAAGTTATTTTTAGCACATTACATACACCAATTGGTTTCATCTGTGCCAGCCTGTCTGAGTCACTTCCCTAAAGTCAGCAAACAACATATAGCTTTCACCCCCACCAGGTACATTCACCAGGTTTAGTGAGAATAACTATAAATAGTCTCTGGAAAAGAGCATTTATTTTATTTTTAAATGGAGATAAAAAATGTGAATATACTAAAATTCCATCTATGCCACAAAGAAAAAGTTTCATATCTCTGACAAATCCATCACTGTTCTACATAGTTGTTTCATCATCTCTGAAACCTGACGTGAATGATAGAATGTACTGAACAACATCATGTAACCCTTTTGAAAGGTTACAAAGTCCAGATTTTAGTGGCACTTTTCATGCCAATCTATGTCTCTATACTACTCTATTTTTTGAGAGTTACATATAAATATTTACTGAAGTACTACACTTCTGCTTAAAATACATGTGCATAGAGAAAATGTACAAGTATGAATACAAACTATAGAACAAAACATTTAAGAAATTTCCATTTATCATAAATAAAACCTATTAATAGTTATTGGATAGATAAATAAATAGATAATTATTTAATTACTTTACATTTTCTTCGGTGAATGATTCACTGTTACGCAGCCAACTCACTTAACATAGCAGCTGAAAACACGGCCACAAGTTGTTGACACACTACTCTTAATATTAGTATTACAATTAAAACACTAATAACTCAAACTATAAAGTCAAATTATTTCCATAAAAAATGCCTTAAAAGTGTAAAATAAGGGTACATAAAAATGGTGTTCATGGGTTCTGTGTAAAATTTAACTAGAGTTTGATAAAAAAAATAAATCTTGCTAAAGGAAGAAAGCTCATTCATTCTTGTATACAATGTATAAAGTTAAGACGGAGAGCAGATATTCTGAATAAGTTTTTTGTTATGCTGTATTTAATTTGAATAAATTATGCACTTCAGAAAAATAGTGTTTTCAAATTTGATGTTCAGGATATTCTTTATAGAATTTGGACTTTTTTTTATTACAATAATTTAAATTAGGAGTACAATAAATGCATTAAATAATTACGAGAGATTAAAATTACTAAGCAACAGAATTAGCACAACAGAGTACAAGGGACAAGATGATTTAACAAAAGAAGTATTATATATTAGCTGCAACTTGCAAAACACTTGTGGTTGTCTTCATGCCCTTTTCTTGAATTTTTCTTATTCTATCATTTTCACACATGCTATTTAAGATACACTTTCTTGCAGGAATTGTGTGTCAGACTAATAAATCCTGGTCTATTTGAAAAAAAATTTATAAGGTCAGACAAGCAAACTCATGTAGAAGTAACTTTATTTAATAAAAACTACACATATATAACTTTATTTAATCAATTTACACATAAAGGAAATGATAAAGTAAAGTAATGGTATTTATAATAGCATAGAAAGTATGAAACAGTTATGAGTATTCAGTGCATGACAAGGTTTTACAACTCGAAACAAAGAAACTCACAAAAATGAAGAATAAAACCAATAGTAAAAAAACGTAGTTAAAAGGTGTTTATAGCAGTCTACGCAATGAACTGAAGCTCAATTATTGCAAAGTAAATATAAAGTTGTAATGAAGGCAAACTTAGCTGAATATGCAGAAATGTCTGAATATGTGTTCACAAAAGGAACAAACTGAGCATGGATATTTTAAACCTAAATAAGTCAAGAAAACCCATAGTAGCTGTATTTAGTGTAATTTTAATATTTTTCAAGAAATTATATGCAGCTTAAGTGTTGTTTGTGAAATACTTTGCAAATAAAAAACCTAAGGTTGAAATCAATGACAGTCATCATGTGATGATGACACTGTGTTATCGTGTAGCATACTCATTGCATTAAAAAGTTTGACTAAGCAAAAAACAGGTAAGATGATTTTGAATGGAAAAGCCAATATGCAGTCCTTACTACTTGGACAAATGCCTTTCTAATGATATGAGATTTGTAGCATTTGATCACAAAATTAGTAAGACAAATTCCAGGGAGACAAACACAAGTGTGTTATTTATATAGACACCAGGTGATTGTCTGTTTTAGTGCAAAACTACACACGGTCTATCTGTGCTCTGTCGAATGTGGGGAGCTAAACCCCAGATATTACCATTGTAGGTCTGTATGTACTAGATAGGGATTCATTTGTAAAATAATAGGAAGCCCCTTTTATTATACAAAATAAATTATTTATTTAAAAAACATGCCCAAGAAAGAAAAATAACAGTTTTTCTTTCTTGGACATGTGTATTAAGAAAAATAATTGTTTTGTCCAATAAAATATGAATCAATTACTTCAGGAAACTGTTATGATTAAGAAGAGATGACAATATGAAGTAGGAAGATATTACACAGGAACAGGAGAGAAAGTGTGAAATATAAGTTAACCCGATGACCACTGGCTATTAACTTTCTGAGTAGGCAATACAAGTCTTGCTATATTTCATTTGAACAATAAAACTAGTGGATGATATTGATTGAAACTTCAGAAGAACTTTCATAAATGTATGTAGTTTAAGAAACATGAAGCCTGTTACTTTTGATAAATTTAGTTTTTTTTGCATTATGATCTTTAATATCTTGGAAAATTACATTAGAAAATGGTATTTATAAGAAACGATTACAATATTTATATTTGTTCCAGATTTGAACTTATTACATTTTATGTTTTAGTACATTATTTTAAAATCCCCCCAAAATTGTATCATCCATAAAATGCTAAATTTATCTGTTTTTAATGTTTTTAATAATCACGTACTCTCCTTATTGTATCAAGTAATATACAAGACCCGAAAATAATATATGTAAATAAACTTAAACAATACATGAGTATTTTTATTTTTAACTAGGATTTCATGTTTATATATGTACATAAAAAAACATTTTAATTTTGTTTCATACATGTATTTTTATTTCAAGTTTATGTTTATGTTTCATTGCAGCCATACTTTTGTTTATTGTGCTGAATAAATTATGAGGTTAGCAGTGTGAACTTTGTACATTTGGTGTGAATGATCATGCCTGTTGGTGATCACTTTCGTTCAGTCCAGCACAGGCACATTTCAACATTATTGTAGATAAGATAGTAAGAAAGCTTTTCGGTACTTGAATATCATTTCTTTGAACTTTCAAACAAGTTTATTTCAACATATGTCCATGTATGTTGTTTCACTATACATACAAAACTAATTGCCACTGCTAGCAAATGTATATAATAGTTTACAGTACAGGTGGCTTGAATAACACGCCTGATCCTAGTTACTTGATACATCCTGTTAAAAGAGATTACCAAACGATACAGACACCATAAATTACAAAGACAATTACCTTACAGCACTTAAAAA